GGATAATATTTGAAGCAATTGAAGTATTAATTTAATAGTTTTTAAATAATGTCAAATGTGATTTCATAATTTTAATGACTATCGCGTCAATTTTATAAATATTTTTAATATATTTAAGAATTTTGTGTTTAACGTACATATATAAAAAGATTTCTTAAGTTTATATAAAATAAACGCTCTATAAATGTTTTGTATATGATATTGGGAGTTGTGACTAATATGTCAATCAGATTCAAAGAATGACTGCTTTATAAGTATGTATTATTGTATTTTAGTTTTATTATACAAGGTTTAATAATATACATATTACATTCGGATCTATCGCTACTTATGCAAAAATCTTATCTTCTATTTCTAATTATTTAATTTTGAGAAATATACACTAATTTTTCAGGTTGTAATAAATAATTTGGTTTAACTGTAAAACTATTTTGTTTTTTGAGGATTTATGAAAGAAAAACATAATAATTTGTATCTTTTTAGAGAGCTCTTGTAATTATTATAAGCTGTTGGAAAATAAAACAAAAAAACGTATTATCGTATACATACATATAATTAAAAGGAAAGAAGCTAAATGTCAATGATTGCAAAAACCGAGTAAAAGAAGGCGAGTTTTTTCGAATATACAAGAACACTGTACAGTATAAAATATTTTTAAGAATTTAATAAACTTGTTCGCTAAAAGGTGTGGTGTTGTTTTGTCAATTTAAAGACACATCAACAAACATTAATACTACAATTTTTATAAACATTTAGGAAAAATTTTAAATTAAAATTTTTCAGCTTCACGTTACAAACTGGAATTCAATTACAGAATTTATAATAGTTATAAATTAATTACATTGCATAAAAATTTATATATACATAAGTATGTAAGTACTAATATTATCTAATTAGGACTAATATTATCTCCTCATGGGCAATACTACAGCCAATGTTGGGAATAATTAAATTAAAATAAAATAAAACTAATTATAAATCAGAAAGTGAACGAAAGAAAATTAAATGTCCTAATCGGAAAGCTTCATTTTTAAGCCCGGATGGGTTAGGTTTTACAGATGGGATGGTATCGAGACCAACACCCGACCAATCTTATAGCATTCTTCTTCAACCTAAGAATGACTGCTCCCGCCGACAACGAGGGCAGTTTTAAAATTCCGGCCTTTGCCGCGGTTGAACACGCCCCTACAGCCGTTTCATATGTCAGAAGCAGTACTACCTTCATAGTATACATCCACTTCATTATTGACGGAGACTATACATACGTCGCACCTATGATGACCACGCACACCATGAACGGCCGCGTAGTCCTTGCGCTTGCCTCTTGCACGTGTTTTTGTTAAAGAAGCTTGCTATATCAAATAGCACACTTTGGTATTTAAACGAACATAACTAGTTAACTGTGACATAGCACATTTTTTTAATTTTAACAATCGAATATTTAAAATTATTAAATTTAAAGGTAATTCACATTCCATATACATATGTATATAGATGTATATATTCTTTGTAAATTTTAATGCTCCAATTTACGTATACCTCAATGTAATTTATTTCAGTTTAATTCAATATACTCAATGTTCAGTTTAATTCAATATAAACAAAAAATTATTTACTTATTGAAAAACATATTCAAATAAGCGCATTGCATAAATGTGATCGTATGTGCGAATAAATTACGTTACTACTATTCAAAGATATAATGTCATCTTAAATTGCAAGATGTTCTACATTCTATTTTGCATTCATTTACCTTAAAAATGCAAAAAAAAATCAATGACGTTAAACTAAGGGGCATTCTATATAAGAAATATATATAAATATAGCAATATAAAAATTTGAATGTTGGTTGCATAATTTATCTACAAATAACTTTACATTAAAAATTTCGCAAAATGCGACATCTGATACAATTAAGTTTTGATAGTTTATAATCAATTTTCATTAATGAACTAAAATTTGCCAGGAATATCTTGAAATGTTCGCAAATTTTTTTATAAAAATTTTTTACCTAAATCTAGAATAAATACATATGTATATATAATTAAAAGGGATAAATTACGAATTTCAACTCTAGTTCAATACCAAATATTTTTATAGAGATTCTCTCCAGGCAGAAATTTTTTGGGTTTTCCTTCCGCGGGCAACCTGCAGACTTATAAGGAACGTCATTGTCGGCCGATTTTTGAGGAGTTTGGGTTCGAATGAAGGACAGAAGATGTGCCAGAAACTTTACAGGATCTAGTTATAATTGAAATTTCGTTAATTAGCAACTTAATAAAAACTACATTTTTAGTTTCGAGACTACATTTTTAGTTTACCTATTAAAATTTTTATTTTCAATAACTTTTATTGAAAATAAAGATTTTAATAATCGTTTTCTATAATTTGTTTCTCAATAATATTATAAACGGTTCAACAAAGTTAAATTATACTTATCATTTAATATTTGAATATCATTTGTGCACATAAAATTAGAAGAAAGTCAATTATACATAAAGTACATATGAGCGGACATATGTATGTACATTGTAAAAGTATAAAATATTGGTGAATTATACACCACATGCTGTATGAATGAATTATGAAACTGAATTATTCACTAACAATTGAATCTTTTTTTTGTAAGTACATACATATGTATGTATGTATTCATTTTGCTCGTTTATTGCTTAGCATTATTTTTATGACTTATACGACGCATACAACCGTTATGTGACAGTTAAAATGAAATAGAATGAGATTACATTGATAATTTATTCAAATAATATGAAACAGAAAAAATATATAATATATTTGGTCTAATAAAATCAATGAATGCCAAATATTGTAGATATATACATACGTACATACATTATGTTTACAAATTCACTCATACTCATATTCCATGTAGTTTAAAGAAAAATTCTATATACATATTCCACAGTATGCTCGTTACATTTTTATAATGTATCATTATGTGCATACAAAACATGCAAAAGAGGTTAACATTAGACTTAAGTCTCATTATAAACGGGAAATTTAAAATAAATTTAACTAATAATCTGAACAAATAAAAAATATTCGAGCCCTTTTAAACAGGGTGTAGCTTATCCCGTTAAAATAAGCCAAATTAAAAAAACTCGTACTGTAATTTTAAATAATTCATCTTTTTCTTTTTGAAAAATTTTGACCAATTTCACAGCATTGTTCCTCTCAGCACAATTTATGCCAACACAATTACATTTTATTTGAAGAACCCTAAGAGACTGTTTTTTTTTGTGTTTGTTTTAGTAATGAGTTTATGATAAGTTTGCTATTAGTTTCGCATGATTTTCCACATAAAATTACCAATTATACCAATAAATTATGATCTTGATTATATTTTAATTTTAATTCAGAATTTTAAAGGAAGACCTGTGCTGTAATGAGGTTATCAAAAAATATAATGTTCCATGCTTTTAAGGATTGTGATCCCGAAAATAAACACAATCAGCAAAATGTGTGTCTAATTTTATATTTTTCAGTTTATGCACATGTATATGTAAAAGATATCATTTGTTGTAAAATTATCTTTACAATTTCATTATTGTTTAAATTTAGTTTTAGTTAATATCATGAAAAGCTTTAATTTCAATAAACCGAACATGAAAACTAAATATTTAACACGCGACTAAAATAACATAATTTATAGTAACAAATTTTTATGGTATTTTTTTTTCTTTATTTTATTTATTTCAAAAAAAATTTCTCAAAATGAGCCCAACAAAAGGTAGCTTTTACAGAGTGTATATATTCACATTTCACAATTTATTTACTATTTTTTTTTTGTATTTTAAATTTTATATCGAATTGGAAAAATTCAAAAATTAAACTTAATATTTAACAATTAGAATATTCAAAATAAACGAGAAAAAAATAGAGTTGACCTTGTCAACTCTGTGATACCTGTACGAATTCGTTATCCTATGTGCGAATAAAGATGCCATAACTGACTATGGAGTTGCCGTATATTAATTTATGAAAAATTTCAGTACAATGTGTTTTTCGAAATACTGTGTGTGCCAAACTACTGTTGAAGTTGTATGGCAGCTACCAGAAAGAGCCAAGAAATTTTAACGAATTTTATCAAGCACATCGGCCCTACTAATATATTTGTTTGTGTGAAATTTCAATACCATAGCTTTTATAGTTTCTGAGATATAGCCAAATAAGTTTTAAAGTTGTGTGGCAGCTACCCGAACCGGTACCCTGATCATGTCCAATTTAAATAGGGTTCTGGCACTTACTTATTGTACAATAAATCATTTGTGAAAATTTGGTGAACTTAGCTGAATTAGTTTTTGAGTTATCGTTGGGACGGACGGACGGACGGACAGACAAAGCTAAATCAACTCAGAATTCGACGCTGATCAAAAACATACACTTGAGTCTATATCTAAGACCGTTATTTCTTAGCGTTACAAACGGTAAGGCAAATTTAGTATACCCTCGAACATACGTTCGTACGGGTATAAAAACGAACTAAAATTAAATTTTTAACAGGTAATTTGTAAAATAATTGAGTTTTGGTGTACTTTGAAAAAAATGTATTTATTCGTTCAGGCGCCCCTTTTTTGATAGGAATGTTATATATACCATCTTCTTAGTTCGAGCGCAAATTTTAGACGTCATATTAAAATTACATCCAGATGTTTCGCTAGAACAAGGTTATATTTTTCATCATGTTGATCGTCTACCGAGTTATCATCTCTGAAAGTTAGCACAATTTCAATCGGTAGTAATTTTTTTGAAACCACAAGTTTTATGAAATTTATACAAAAGCAAAGAAGTAACGGTAAGTGGCTTTGTTTTCGGATTGTATAAATTTCACCTTAAAATATGAGATAATAGAACGTTGTTAAATAGAATGTCGTTTTAAGAAAAATAAGTGCTGCTGTCACTAGTTTTAATGTGAACATTATATAGAACATTTATAAATGTGCAACTTTATAAACCATTGGTTTGATCCGATTTGATTTTCAGTTTAATGAACTTTTACTATTACGCTCAATTAGTACTGTTGAAGTTGGAGGCGTAACTGATGAAGAACCTAAAAATGAAGGAAATATGTATGTTGCTTAAATATACGTACAAAAAGTGTGCTTACGTGTTAACCTAAAAAAAATACAAAAGGATTATATAAAAATAAATGAAAAGTTTTTTTTTTTTTTATAATTGTTAATTTAACATGCCGGCCCATTTTTTGCTTCTTTGAAAAATTTATTTTAATTTTTAATTTAACAAATAGAATTTATTTTAAATTATAAAAGTTTTAATTGCAAATGAAGTTTTTATTAAAAAAGGGGATGAAAAATAAAAGTAAAATATAATTTGCTTTTTCTGTTTTTTTTTTTTGAAATGGGGGCATATGAAGTTGGTTTTTTCAATTTACTCTGTAATATCCAAATGAATACATCCAAAGATGTATTGAATTATAATGAAAACTAGCATAATTTTGTTTAATTGTTTTTACTAAATTACTTTGTTAAAAAATTTCACTATTGTACTCAGAATATATTCGAGGATATATTATGAAATTAAACTTCGTCATGTGCATACTTTGAATATTTTATAATTAAAAATTTCTGTAATCTGGACAATTAGTCCCACTCAAGTTAAATGGAATACTTTAAGTTAATATTTTAAGCAATTTGTTAGAATTTTGTGAACATAATTTAATTTGTTCTTGCGGAAATTAGTGGCAGAAATGTAACTAAATGACTTCAGAGATTTAACCATCAGCAAGGATATATGTAGATATATATGCAAATTTATAAAATATCCTTACAAATATAGTTTTGCCAAATAGGATTCAAGTAAATTCATTGATATATGCATATTGAATTCCTATTTATATATGCAATTTATCCTTGAATTTTGTCCCCCTATGCTAAATTTAATAAAATACAAGGCTTGACGTGATAGTCAAATTCAATAACAAGAATTTATCTTTCTATAAGCTGTATAATGTTAATAATTCCGTCAACAAGTTATTAATTAGTAAGAAAATAGAAAACACAATCAATAAACTTGAAAAAAAACTTGAAAATTTATTAAGAAAACGTGTTTTATCAAATTTAGATCTGAATGTTAGTGAAACAAATTAATGTTAAAACATGATTTGGCACTCACTATATAAACAACCAGATCTCCTCAATGCAATATTCTTGCTTTATGTTGCACATTTTAATGTAAATGATTGAATCCTTAAAAATCTTATATTTAAACAAAAGTTGCACACTTATTAACCCGATTTTGATGACACCACGATATTTTAAAAAACTCTTAAATGCTTTGCTTTTTTTCTATACAATATGAATTTTAAAAGCTTTTCAATTTATAAATATGATTTTCTTTAAAAATTTGTAGACTTCATCAGTTCATATATTATTTTGTGTAATGGATTAATTTACATATGATATAGCTGGTTATACTTCCTTTTCTCTTTTAAATTATAAAAATTAGTTATTAAAATCTCGTCCTGTTTACATTCATAGAGATTATAAAATTAATAATTTTTCAATGGGGAATAAATAAAATAAATAATGTTTCAATGGGGAACGGGAGGGTCGGGAAAAATTGCACGGGTGTATCTCACCAAACTGAAGGAGGACAACATCGAAGGGGCAAGAACTGGCCATACATGGGCGTCCTGATTTGAAGCTATTATTGATTGTACTCACTGGACATTTCACTGGACATTATTTAACCTGGAACTTAAAATCGAAAAATAATTTTTAGTGTACTTAAATTATCAGAAATTTTCTTTTCAATTAGAGAAGAAACTCAGAAAATTTGCATCACTTGATGATTTCTATAATTATAATTTGATAAACATACGCAAGTAGGATTTTTGATATAAGTATTAAGAAAAAAATAGCGAATCAAATCAATTAGCCAAGTAATGTCGTCATACTAAGAGAAATATTTGAATAAGGAGTGGATTCTTCTGTATCAACAAATTAACTTTTAAAACTTATTATGAAAACCGATTATTAGACTACACAAATATTTCTTTTTATTTCCCAGATATACAGATAACTGCCTTCGAATGAATAGCTTTCCTGAAAATTCAAAAAACTATGGAATAAACTAACTATGGGAATTCAAAAATTATAGAGCATATGAAAAATCCTGAATAGTGGCAATTTCAATTAATTCAACAAAAAATATAACAAAACCTTCATATCAAAATTTTTAAAATAAACTTAATGTTTTCTGAGAACTTGACGTTTTTAATGCTTAGAACTCATTTGCATGACATTCGTTTGGGTACAGAAATTTTATTTTTACATATTACGAACATTGTAATGCATTATTTCACCAATTTTGCATCAATATAAGTACACTAACATGTTTTACATATAAATATGCAATGTATAACTATGAAACGAAATGTTATTAAAAATAGTTGTGACCCAAATTAAAAGCTCTTTTAATAAAGTTGGGTCAAACCAATGGTTTGTATTGTAGCACTTTTCCCTTCAACAAGTGAAAATTCTGCTTTTAAATACAGTCTATGTATACCTATCACACTATTAAAATTATTATACAAAACTATTTCTAAGATTGCATATATTTAGGATAAACGATTTATGCAATCTGTGAAATAAAGCAAAAATTAATATAAAGTGGGGTTAACATAATGCACGATTTTAAGGGTTAATTGTGTGAGTTAAGAAAAATAATTATATTTTTTAATGCCATGGAATTTACCGTTAGCTTTTTGCGTTTATAGAAATTTGAAAAAGGTTGCGGTTTCGGAAATATAAGGCTTCAAAAATTCGAATTTTACAAATTTCAAGAAGTGATAACTTGAAAGGGGGTGGAGATGGAAAAAAATTTTCTTCAAACGAAAAGAAGTATTTATTAATGTTTAAAAACTGCTGAAATTTCAGGTTCCTGCAAGCTGAGTCTAGAAGAAAAACGACATCAAAATCTTTGGAAAAAACTGGTTTTAAATAACGGCCATTTTGTTTTTTTTAAATTTGACTATAGTATGCCACGCTACGGAAAGCAAGCCGCTGCCTTTCTGCGTTTGCAAAATTTCAAAAATGCTTATGGTTTCATTGCAACAAATAATTAAAAAAGGCCATTTTTAGGATTTTGGGGAGGGGGTATAACTTCTAGAGGAGAGAGATAGGTAAAAATTTTGTTCTACGGAAATAAGTTTCTAGTAAAGATCTCTGTACATACAAAATTTCAGCTTTCTATCTTCAAGGGTGTAAAAGTTTTGTAAGCAGATACACGGACAGACGGACGGAGCCCAAAACCGCACTGTCACCTCCTAGTGGTGGGCCCCGGTAATGGCGGAGGATAAAGGGGTGATTGAAACGATCAAGGTTACGTTCGTGTCGTGGTCATGTCTCGCGGCGAGCCTCTTGCTTTGTGGGTTTCAGTCCTATATCTATACGTCAGCTGACGACAGGCGTCCCAAGTCAAGGTGGAACAACATATGCCGACGACTGCGTGGCTAAGGGGGAGCTTAGTCGTTAGTATGCGGACTCTGGATACCAGGCGCCCTCCAGTTTAAACGAGCCTTCCCATGGTATGCCGGGCTCTGCCATGGGTGACTTTACTTTCCCGCGCTATTCGTGAGAAAATTATAGAGGAAAAGGCGGAGCTTCCGATGCCGACGGATAATCAGGATCCTCTTGGACCTATTATCCAACAAACTGAGGAGGACCTGAAAAGGTTGGACATCAGGGGAAAAAAACAATATTTCTCTGGTGCATCCAAGCGGCGTATCGCGGCTTATATTAGGGATGGTATGTCTCCAGAGGAAGCTCGCAGATATGAGATGGAAAGGCTGGAAAAGCTGCAGGCCTGCGGATCGGGTGTTGTGGCCGACCATCCCCAAAAGAGGGAAAGGTCGGAAAGCAACACCCCTGATGCAGGGCCCTCAAAGAAGAGATCGATGAAGGGCGATGTTGAGGAAAAGGTCCCTGGGAACATTCCTCAACAAAACCCGAAAATGACTTCTTATCGGGATGCAGTAGCACAGGTCAAGGTGGCCATCACTCATAGACTGCATCCAGAGGAAAGGCTATCCGAAGTTCAGATGGGGAAAATCAAAGTAGCCATCATGGATGAAATGGATAAAGTTGTGGACTCTCATCCACAATTCACTGCAGCATTGCAAAGTCAGGGACGGATGAATATCCGTAACATGCAACAATCAAAACACCAGGGAGTGGATAACCAGTGTCTGCAGGAAGATAAAGCCTGGGGACGGTTGCGACGTCGTTGTACTGGATGGCGACGACATGCCCAAACAGCATGTCTGCGTCACCTACGTACCAAAGGACGAGACAACCGTCAGTCTCTCCAGGGACAAATTTCTAAGTAGGATAGGGAAGCAAAATCCCAGCCTCAAGATAAGTTCCTGGAGGATGCTGAGGATGGATAAGGAAAAGGACGGGGGCTGCTCCATCACCTTTTCCGTGGATGATTCCGGATTGGAAGATCTACGGAAAGCGGAGTTCCGACTTTTCCTGAATTTCTTCCGTGTTACCGTTCGGGTTAAAGGAAGAAAATCCTCTCAAGGAGCTGGCGACAGGGCAGGACAAAATAAAAAACCAGTGCCCACCGCGACAACGACGAGCACTTCAGGCCAACCAAAAGAGCCAAAACTCATTGGAAAGTCTGAAGTCGCTCCGAAAATGGCGGCAAGGGAAACAGGCGTCCCGGGGGAACCAAAAGGGCTCAAGCCCATTGAGAAGCCCGGAACTGCCTCGGTATTTGCTGTTGGAGGGGCTAGCGTGGCACCTGGGACGGCAAAAGAGGCTATGGCTGGGCAGGCGCCCACCAAGATGTGTAAAAAGGCGGCAATGGGAGGAAAGGCTCATGTAAAGCCTTTGTCTAAAGAGCCAAAACCCATTGACAAGAGCCGGAGGAAATGATATGGCTGTGAGGTGAATCCAAATAAATTTACAGCATGCTAGGGCATCTACTGATGTTCTAGCTCATAGATTTATGAAGGATCACCTCGATATCGCCCTTATCCAAGAGCCTTACATAGTGAAGGATCAGGTTAAAGGCCTAACAGGTGAGCTATTGTATGATAATACAATTGGGTATTGTATGATAATACAATTGTATGATAATACAATTGT